CAGGGTCCCCTGGGTGTCCCCATGTCCTCCTCAGTGTCCCCATGTCCCCAGGGTCCCCTGGGTGTCCCCATGTCCTCCTCAGTGTCCCCATGTCCTCCTCGGTGTCCCCATGTCCCCAGGGTCCCCTGGGTGTCCCCATGTCCCCCTCGGTGTCCCCACGCCCCCCGCGTCACCTTGATGACCTTCTGGCAGCCGAGCTGGGGCCGCCCGTCGTCGCCCACGGGGTCGAGGACGACGCAGAAGTGCCGGGGCCCCAGGGTGGTGACGGCCACGGGCGCCACGAGCTCCTCACACACGTCGGGGACGTAGGCGTCGCTCTGCGCCTGCGTCACCAGCCACTCCTCGCCCGTGCGCCGCAGGGTGCCCTGCGCGTCGCGGAACGGGCGCGTGGCGCGCAGGTGCAGGGCCACCTGCGGAGCGGATATTGGGTGGCGTTGGGTGGCGTTGGGACATTGGGTCATGTTGGGTGATGTTGGGGAACACTGGGTGGCGTTGGGCGACATTGGGTGACGTTGGGTGGTATTGGGACATTGGGTGGCGTTGGGTGGCGTTGGGTGGTGTTAGGTGGCGTTGGGTGGCGTTGGGTGGCGTTGGGACATTGGGTGACGTTGGGTGACACTGGGTGATGTTGGGTGGCTTTGGGAGACTGGGGGACATTGGGTGATGTTGGGACATTGGGTGACGTTGGGACATTGGAGGACATTGGGAGACTGGGGGACATTGGGTGATGTTGGGACATTGGGTGACGTTGGGACATTGGAGGACATTGGGACATTGGAGGACATTGGGTGACGTTGGGTGCCATTGGGTGATGTTGGGTGCCATTGGATGGTGTTGGGTGGCACTGGGAGGCATTGGGACATTGGGTGACGTTGGGTGCCATTGGGTGATGTTGGGTGCCATTGGGTGGCGTTGGGTGGCATTGGGACGTTGGGGGACATGGAGTGCCGTTGGGTGCCGTTGGGAGATTGGGGGACATTGGGTGATGTTGGGTGGCGTTGGGTGGCATTGGGGGACATTCGGTGACACTGGGTGGCACCGAGCGCCGCAAGGTCCCCCTTGGGGCCACCCCGTGTCCCTCCGCCGTGCCCCCACCATGTCCCCACGGGTGTCCCACGGGTGTCCCATGGGTGTCACCTTCTCGGTGAGCACGAAGGCGTCCACCACGTCCAGCACCTCCTCGTAGACGCCGGGCAGGTAGGCGCCCACGCGGCGCACCAGCCACTCCTCCCCTATGGGCACAACGGATAGGGCGCTATAGGGCGCTGTAGGGTGCTGCGGGTCCCTATGGGTGCTCCTACGGGTGCTATGGGTGCTCCTATGGGTAGGCGCCCACGCGGCGCACCAGCCACTCCTCCCCTATGGGCACAACGGATAGGGTGCTATGGGGTGCTATGGGGTGCTATAGGGTGCTATAGGGCGCTATAGGGTGCTGCGGGTCCCTATGGGTGCTCCTATGGGTGCTGTGAGCTCCTATAGGTGCTACGGTCGGTACAGGTCCCTACGGATTCCCATCAGTTCCTATGAGTTCCTATGGGTTCCTACAGGTCCGTATGGGTTCCTATCAATCCTATGGGTTCCTACGGGTTCCTACAGGTCCCTATGGGTCCCTATGGGTCCCCAGTGTCCCCGGTGTCACCTGTGATGGGCCAGGTGCCCTTGTAGTCCGTGCACTCTTTGCGTGGTGCCTATGGGTTCCTACAGGTCCCTATGGGTTCTTATCAACCCTATGGGTTCCTATGGGTTCCTACAGGTCCCTATGGGTTCCTATCAACCCTATGGGTTCCTATGGGTTCCTACAGGTCCCTATGGGTTCCTATCAATTCCTATGGGTTCCTATGGGTTCCTATGGGTTCCTACAGGTCCCTATGGGTCCCCAGGTGTCCCCGGTGTCACCTGTGACGCGGCGGGTGCCATCGCGGTCCATGCACTCCTTGCGTGGTCCCTATGGGTTCCTACAGGTCCCTATGGATGTCTATCAGTTCCTATGGGTTCCTATGGGTCTCTAGATGTTCCTCTGGGTCCCCATGGGTCCCTCCATGTCCCAGGTGTCCCCGGTGTCACCTGTGACGCGGCGGGTGCCGTCGCGGTCCGTGCACTCCTTGCGCGCCCGCAGCCGCACCGCCTGGTTGGGCCGGATCACGGTGGCCTGCAGCGTCTCGGCCACCTCCACCTCCTTGCGCGGGATGTAGGTGCCTGCGGACGGCGGCGCCGGTGGCACCACGGGGACACTGGTGTCACCGCTGGGGCCACCATGGGGACACTGGTGTCACCGTCGGGGTCACCGTTGGTGTCCCCATTGGTGTCACCGTTGGCATCACCGTTGGCGTCACCATTGGTGTCACATTTGGTGTCCCCATTGGCGTCACCGTTGGTGTCCCCATTGGTGTCACCATTGGGGGTCACCATTGGTGTCACCATTGGTGTCACATTTGGTGTCCCCATTGGGGGTCCCCATTGGTGTCCCCATTGGCGTCACCATTGGCGTCACCATTGGCGTCACCGTTGACGTCACCACTGGTGTCACCATTGGCGTCACCATTGGTGTCCCCATTGGCATCACTGTTGGTGTCACTGGTGTCACCATGGTGGCATTGGCATCACCGTTGGTGTCCCCATTGGCATCACCATTGGTGTCACCATTGGCGTCACCATTGGTGTCCCCATTGGCGTCACCGTCAGGGTCACCGTTGGTGTCACCATTGGGGTCACCATTGGCGTCACTGCTGGTGTCACCATGGTGGCATTGGCATCACCATTGGTGTCACCGTTGGTGTCCCCATTGGCGTCACCATTGGTGTCACCATTGGCGTCCCCGTTGGCGTCACCATTGGTGTCACCATTGGCGTCCCCGTTGGTGTCACCATTGGCGTCCCCGTTGCCGTCCCCGCCGCCGTCACCCACCGGGCCCCTCGAAGAGCCACTCGTCGCCGGCCACGCGCCGGGCGCCGTCCTCGTCCTCGAAGTCCAGCAGCGCCCGCAGGCGCAGGGCGGTGTCGGCCGGCACCACGCGCAGCGGCGTCACGTCCTGCGGGGACAACGGGGACACCGTGGGGGTGACACTGCGGGGACACCATGGAGACACTGTGGACATGGGGGTGACACCATGGGGACACCATGGTGAAACCATGGGGATGGAGGAGACACCATGGGGACACCATGGGGATGGAGGTGACACCATGAGGACACTGTGGACATGGGGGGTGACACCATGGGGACACCATGGTGAAACCATGGGGATGGAGGAGACACCATGGGGACACCATGGGGATGGAGGTGACACCATGGGGACACTGTGGACATGGGGGGTGACACCATGGGGACACCATGGTGA